GAGCAGAGCAACAAGCCATTATTGATTCAGCCGAAGTGCTCGAGAAAAGAAAAATTAAAAACAGCAAAATTGTTTTCCTTTGTGACTGCATGTCAGTCCTCCAGGCGACTCATAGGAATCCACAAGACAACATGGAAAGAGAACTGACTAAACAGACTCACAGAAAACAATCAAATCGTTCTCCAGTGGATCCCGGCTCACTGCGGCATACCAGGAAATGAGTTAGCAGACAGACTTGCAAAAATTGGAACAAAGGAGAAACAACATGCCCATTCATTGTCATTAAAAGAAATCAGAACAATTATCAAAGGAAAATACAAGGGATTGTGGAGAGAACAAACTTACAGTAAACATCCACAAGACCCGATCAGCAGACTCAACAGAAAGCAACCTAAAACAATTTTTCGTCTACTAACAGGACACTGCAGGCTCAACTACCACATGCATAGAATAAAGATTGTACAGTTCCCTCCAGTGTGCCTGTCAAACAGGACCCCAAACACCTCAGCACATTCTGAAGACCTGCCCACTCTACCTGCAGCTTCGAAAAGACACCTGGCCTCAAGAGCAAAGTGTGCAGAGCAAGCTATGGGGAACCATGCAGGACCCGCAGCTGACATGCGAGTTCATAGAGGCAACCCACCTGTTGGTCTGATCTGAGCATACGAAACCGAACGCAAAGAAGAAGAGAAGAAGAAATAGACAAAATCGGTCCCCACTATAACAAATGACGAATCATTATGAGGTTTCACCTAACATTTCACACACATTTCCATAACATGGTTATACAGTTCTTATTGCAGGAAGACAAATTTAAGACCACTATGGTCACACTCGCAATATTGTCATATTTCAGATCAATCCAAACCCCAAAAACAGTTTCCAGTACTTTCTGGCTAAGTAAAATACTCACAATTTTAAAACTGTAAATGGTGGTACAAAGGACGTTGTGTTGAAAAGCTGGCTCTCCTACGAAATACGCCTGGCCAAATCAGAAGCAGCTGAAACCAAGAAGGAAACATCAGAAATGAAAGGACAAGAAGATCACAGTTGACAACATGATAGGGAATGAGCTGTCTGGCTTGGAGGACAGACGTATTAAGCCCAGAGACGGCGCAAATGCCAGAACTTTAGCCACGTAAGTGGCGCAAATAAATAAAACCACAAATATAGCCGGAGACTGTTGGCAGCTTCGGCTAGCTAGCAGCAGGTTGAACGAGGTTGAGTTTTTGATTTTTTCTTAAAAGGAATTAGAATATTAATCTCTGGGCTATAGAAATATTAGTTCGTCGTTTGTGTGTGTGTGTGTGTGTGTGTGTGTGTGTGTGTGTGTGTGTTTTTTTTAAGCCCCCCTCCGCCTCCTCCCCCCCCGGCTTTATGTTTGTGTGAAAAGACTTACTCGACCATATCAGATATATAAAAAACAGATAAATCGAAGTTATTGCATCCCTTCGTCTATTAGAACAACACTCCAGCTACGCATATTTGATTTTGTTAACTCTTAGCAGACGCAAATGGTGCATTATCTAATATAGTTATTTTGTGACATCTGATTTAACAAACAGATTCTGTTTGCATTTTTAATATTTGATTAGCTTTCATGTAGGCGACAAAACAATTTCCCTTGTTTTTGTGGGCCATGTGTGTAGACATGTTGAGGAACACTGTGCTAGAGAGATGAATGTTTGCAGTAATAGTAAGAGTGGCTGTAGTAGTATTAATAGTAGCAGCAGCAGTAGTAGTCGTCGTCGTAGTAGTAGTAGTAGTTTCAGCACCAGCAGTAGTAGTAGTAGTAATGGTGGTGGTGGTGGTGGTAGTTGTTGTAGGAGTTGTAGTAGTAGAGATTAGTAATTAGAGTAGCAATTATAGTAGTAGTGGTTTTGGTGATGGTGGTGGCGATGATGTGGATAGTTATTGTGGTGATGATGGTGACGGTTGAAGTAGTAGTCCTATTGTAGATGACAGTCAACAGTCGACTGTTTCTCAACTCAGCGGTTTACTTAATCTGCCACTAAGGTAATCGGGCACGCGTGCTTAAACCGTGACTCTCACAACAAGCAGACATTGGCGACCGGATCGCCCATTGGCTCGTCAGTAGACGACTTCGTCGCAGGTCGGGACTGTATTTGGGTCTGTTTCCTTTTGATGACATCAACACTGGGTGAATCCTTTTCAGGGCTCTTGGTGGAGTGCAATTTTTATATGGTGCACATAACCTAGTCACAATTATAACCTGCAGCTCTCTCTTCAGGGATGCTGGTTGAACGTGACGATGTTTTGTTATAGCAAAGCACCAACCTAACTAAAACAAGCAGAGTAGCATCTCATTAGAATTATTTAAAACGGGTGCACACGTAACACTCAGGTTCTGGGACAGAACTGCAGTACAAAAGTGGGTAAACAACCAGAACTTTCCGCCAGAGTTTACAGCTGGTGAACGCGAAGAAGAAGAAGATTAGAATTAATTGTTAAGAGATATTATAAATGAGACCGCATCCTCCCCCGGTCGGCCCTGTGACTAAGTCGAGGCGAACGCTTTGTAATGCCGGGATGCCGGGTTCGATCCCATATGCTTTGGTTTCGACAGTGGTATCAAGAAAGCTGACCGTTCAGGAAGCAATGGCAAGCTACTGGACGTAAATTTGCCTAGAGAAACCACACAACAGCCAGGGGTTGTTGGGGTTGGTTCTGCAACGTCATGTCAAGGATACGCAATTAACCTTAACCATCCTCCTCCTCCTCTTACAACTTCTGTTGGTGCTGCTGTCGCTACTACTACGACCTCTGATGATGTTGTTGCTGCTGCTACTACTTCTGTTTCTATTACTACGGCCTCTTCTCGTTTGAACATATTACGTAGTTAGCTCATTAACATTTAGTTCACCTACCAAAGACCCAACACTGCAAACTTGAGAACCCTTGTTCCAATACTGTGTCAAATTGGAGCGTGCATTAAACTGAAAACTTTGACCCGCAGGTAAGCGAGAATATCTCTGGCTTCATAAGTCGTTCAGGATATACATCCAAGCTACATGCTTGTATTCACACACTGTTTCTGCCAACAGGCGAAGCGAACGCCAGTGGATTTAAAGTGAAAATAAAATACGTCCGTGTGTGTATTAAGCATAATAGCAACAATCTACAGTGACAAAAAAATTCCAGAAAATGTATTGTCTAGTGTAGTGTTTAAAGGGACAAGAGAAATGTTAACGTCTGTGTAGTTTAGTATTTAAAGCGATAAGAGAAATCTTAAAATTTGCATTGTTTAGCATTTAAAGTAAACAAAAGTATATAGACGTAAGCAATGTCTAGTATTTGTCAAATGAACCAAGCACCCCCCCCCCCCTTAACCATAATTTTATTGGGGAGGGGGGGGGGCGCTCAAGTGACAAGAGCCTTGCAGTGTCGGCGTCAATTGCAGAGTTGTCGCTTGTTTATGGTAGTTGTTAATAACCACTGTTATATACTGGTAATATTTTAACTCCCTTCATCTAAACACTTAATATTTTCAACAACAAAAAATACACATATCCTACTGAAACAATGGTTGTAGCTGGGGTTCACACAGAAAGATCCAATCAGCAATTATAGATTTTAAGTGGCAATACCCCCCTTTTAACAATCGATATTATCAATAACTTTTAATTAAAGTAAGTCTTTGTTATTTAGTTTTTTTTTTTCTTTTTCCTTTTTTTTTAAATGTGTGTACATGCTATAATCTTTAACTGTTTCAGTGCTAAGAACATATGGCATATATATGATTCGGTTTCCACATTGAGTCCCAAATTAAATGTTCTCTCAGTTTTTACATTTTATGTTAGCATAACTAAAGAAAGGTAGTCGCCGTGGCCGAAAGGCTAGACGCTCGCCGCGGATCGTAAGGTCGTTGGTTCACTCCCTGGTGGAGCCGGACTTCTTCAAAAATGACCTTGGCTCCCAGGTCGACCCAGTCTTGAGTGTGTACCGAGTGCAGTCCCGGGAAGTAAAGGCAGCAGGCGTGATGCTGACCACATCACCCATCTTGTGCCGATTGGTCTATACAAATATTGTTGGTCTACATGCCCTATACGCCTAAAGGCGTGGAAAAGGGTGCTTTACTTTTTTTTTTTTTATAACTAAAGAAATATCTTCTTAAAAGTAACGTCGGCATCTGTAGATTAGGCATTGTGAAGGTGCTTTGTAAATGAATTGCCAGGTTTTATCGTGAATGTAGGCGATCTGACAGCAGACATGTTGCGATAGTTTCGACAGAGGTATCGAGCGCCGAACGTACAGACATACAAACTACTGATCATAAAATTACCTAGAAAAACCATAAACAGTCTACACATGTTGGGGTTGGTTTTGCAACGTCCTATGAAGGATAGGCAAATAACTTGTTTTTAAAGTGACGCACTTGCGATATTCCAAAGTGGCTTTTTCCATCCAGGCATCTTTCAAGAAATGTTCTCGCACTGAAGTAGTTAAGGGTAAAATAGGGGGTGCTGCAGTTATGCAGTGCCTATGCACGAGCTGCTACTTGTTCTATACAACTTGGCTGTGGATGGTATATATTTACAATAAGTAAAGGACCCTTTTTCACCCCTTCAGGTGTACTGGGTATTTACCTATATTTTATAGACCTAACGGCAGTTGGTGGGTGATGTAAGCAGCATCACGCCGGCCGCCTTCACTTCCCTTAACTGGCCGTAGTACCTACTCTAGGCTGGGTCGAAATGGGAGCCAAGGTCATTTTTGATAAAACTCCGGCCCCTGACAGGACCTGAACCCACGACCTTCCGATCCGCAGACGAGCTCTAGTCACTAGACCATGGCAGCCCACATATATTTACAAATTTTTAAAGGGGTATGAAATTATAGGGAAGAGAGAATCATACAAATGAAACCACTGCTTTATTTTTTTTTTTTTTTTAAGGAAAACAACGTAGGACATTTATTCCATCGTCTTATATGTATTAGTTCCTTGTATAAGACACACAATATCAACATTGACATAGAAAATGGTTCGTTTGATGCCGAGGTTTGCCAGCAGGTTCTACGAGTATCTGATCAGAACAGCGGACAGTCGCGTGCCGCCAAAACTACGACCACTGTGGGAACATCCAGCCGGTAAGCAAGTGGTAAACGGTCATACTTTGAGGGTGCTTAAATGTGTGTTGCATGCCAAATACGTGATAAGATAGTGCTGGGTCAGTGTCGGGTTGTGTGAATATGGGTTCCCACAACGTGGCGCACAATCCCGGCTTTTCAAAGCTTACGGGATTTGCAAAAGAGAGTTAAAATGTACGAATAATTTAAATAATTTATGGATAGATAAAAATTGTTCGTTTTATTTGTGTCTAGTAACCTCAGCAAAGTGTCACATAAGATTTAAATATATATATATATATATATATATATATATATATATATATATATATATATATATATATATATATATATATATATATATATATATATATATACGTGTATATTGTGTGCTCTTTCCAATAAGCTGTGTACATTCTTCCTCTTCATACACCTTTTTTTGCTTCCCCCTCCCCCTCGCTTCGTCTTCTTTTTCCTCTTCTTCAGTTCTTTTCTGCCTTTTCATCCTATCTCGGGTTGTGGGGAGGGGGGGGGTGGGGTTTAGGGCTGCGATATTTGGTAGAGAATTCCTAGGACCTGTGGGAGTTCCCTGGAATATCCTATATAACAGGTTTTTAGGATAAGGATTATTTTCATTCTATTTTTTTTTTTCTTTCTAACGTTAGAAATAGATCGTCGGTATCTGCAATATTGTCTCAAGTTGTTTTTTTTTTTTTTTTTTTTTTGTCGTTCCCTATTATTTTCGAGTTTGAGTTTTTGACACACACGACCTAATGAGGTCCTGTGAGGGTGTGTTTTTGGCCGCCATAATATGTGGCCGTTATTCGGAGGGTAGCCGGCATGGGATAGCCCTAGAGCTTCAGACATAGTGACTGACTGGTGTGCTGAAGTGGGCGCTGTCATCATCTCAGAAAAGGTGGCTGTTTTGTGGTGCTCTCTGGATAATAGAAGTGTAAGAGCAGATGTTCCAAGCCTCACAATTAATAACAGTAACATGAACAGAGAAAGCAAAATGAGGTACCTGGGTATCATTTTCGATAGAAGCCTGTCCTTCAGGGATCATGTGGAGGCAGTTACTGTGAAATGCCAAAAAGGACTCAATTCTCTCAAGATTATGGCAGCAATGGATATGGAACAAAGAATGCTGTTCACAGTGTTCCAGCATGTGATCCTCTCTGTGATAGATTATGGTCTTTGAATGCTAACCATATGAAAGAGTCAGCTAATGAAACTCGAACGAATACAAAATGAAGCCATGCGGGTAATTCTGGCATGTACAAGAGATACCCCGGTTGTATGTATACGATATATACTTGCCCAGCCTACTATTGCAGATAGGCTCAAAGTTCGGCAGGCAAAGTCATATCTCAGAGAAGCTGCACACAAGAAGCACCTCCCACATGAAGCCCTGGGTAGAGCTAAGGGTCACAGACTGAAAAAAGGATGGTCTTGGATGGCGCAAGCAGAAGAATAATTATACATGTGAGCAGGCTTGATACTTTTGGACGAGGAGAGGAGTGGTCAAAGTGAGATTCAGACTTGTGTAGGGTTCTTATCACTTTAGGTCGTGAGTGCAGGGAATGGCCAGCTGGTGCTGCAGAATCAGAAGTTCAACAAATGATTCATGACAATTTCCGCTCAGGTGATATAATTATTTACACCGATGGCTCTGTATTGAGGAGCAGACGAAGCGCACGGGGGTTCATAACAAAAGCAAATGGACGTCGCTTATTGCAACAAGGTTTGGCATATGATATCACAACGTCTAGTTTGAGAATGGAGGTGGAGGCGGTCACTGCTACCTTTTGCTGGCTTGACAATCAGCTGTATACTCATGTAATGATTGTAACTGACTCGTAGAGTGTGTTGAGAAAGGTGGAGACAGGCATTCTCCGTGCAGAGCGACAAGCATCGTTTCAGAGGTCCCGGGTAGTTAGCATCGTTTGGATATTTTCTCCTGGTAATGCAGGTGTGTTGGGATATAGATAGACTAGCCGGTTCTGCACCACTTGGGGATGAATTGATGTATGACAAGCTAGACGTTGTAGGGGCCCTTTGGGAGCGAGTGAACAGTGCGTATGCACAGATAGATCGTTACGGTCTGATGAGAATGGCGCTTTGGGGAGTAACCATGAGATCTGGCTGACGCTCAACACTCAAGAAAAGGGCGAGACGGATAAACAATCAGACACTGGTACCATCGGAACTGGAAGTCTTCGCTTGCTGCTGAAGATAAGGACGGGGCGCGTATTGGGGAGTGTCCCGAGTGCTGTGATGTCGATTCCTAATTCAGCATTCAACATTCAAGCCATGTGGGATAAAACATGGTGCAGTGAAATCGATCCTTTGGACTCTAACCTTTGAACCACTTAGTCACGCAGATTCATGAATGTGCCATATGTGGGTATCCTGTGTTCCATTTAGCCACACGATATAGTTATACGTGGGGGTGGGTGGGAGAGGGAGGGAGGGTGTGTGTGCCTGAAAAACTGGCAGTGTGGACTATTTGCGCAGCCTTAAAGTTTATCTAAGCTAAGTACTTATCACATATAGACTATTGTATCTGGCGTGTTCTGTTCTGTTCTTTCTTTCTTTCTTTCTTTTCTGTCTGTCTGTCTTACTGTCTGTCTGTCTGTCTGTCTGTCTGTCTGTCTGTCTGTCTGTCTGTCTGTCTGTCTGTCTGTCTGTCTGTCTGTCTGTCTGTCTGTCTGTCTGTCTGTCTGTCTGTCTGTCTGTCTGTCTGTCTGTCTGTCTGTCTGTCTGTCTGTCTGTCTGTCTGTCTGTCTGTCTGTCTGTCTGTCTTTCTTTCTTTCTTTTTCTTTCTTTCTTTCTTTCTTTCTTCTTTCTTTCTTTCTTTCTTTCTTTCATTCTTTCTTTCTTTCTTTCTTTCTTTCTTTTTTTTTCTTTTTCGCGCGTGCTCATACGTATGCCTTATCGTCAGCCTGCTTTTAGTCTGTCTTTCTCCTATTCTGACATTCTGTGTCAGTCTACAAAAGTATTTCAGCATGTCTGTTTATCTGTCTGCCAATGTTTATATGTACTATTTGTATTCACCCACGTTAGACGTATTTTATAGCAATAAAGGGAAAAAATAACATTTGTCTTCAGATTTATTCCTAGTATATGTCTAGTTCACAGAGACACTGTGTAGTACTCAAAAGGGACAGTCACAAGTAAAGATTGTACGCTTATATGCCTAGTTCACAGAGACACTGTGTAGTACTCAAAAGGGACAGTCACCAGTAAAGATTGTACGCCTATATGCCTAGTTCACAGAGACACTGTGTAGTACTCAAAAGGGATTCTCACCAGTAAAGATTGTATACCAAATGCCTAGTTCAGAGAGACACTGTGTAGTACTCAAAAGGGACTCTCACCAGTAAAGATTGTATGCCTATATGCCTAGTTCAGAGAGACACTGTGTAGTACTCAAAAGGGACTCTCACCAGTAAAGATTGTATGCCAAATGCCTAGTTCAGAGAGACACTGTGTAGTACTCAAAAGGGACTCTCACCAGTAAAGATTGTATGCCTATATGCCTAGTTCAGAGAGACACTGTGTAGTACTCAAAAGGGACAGTCACCAGTAAAAATTGTACGCCTATATGCCTAGTTCACAGAGACACTGTGTAGTACTCAAAAGGGACTCTCACCAGTAAAGAGTGTATGCCAAATGCCTAGTTCAGAGAGACACTGTGTAGTACTCAAAAGGGACAGTCACCAGTAAAAATTGTACGCCTATATGCCTAGTTCACAGAGACACTGTGTAGTACTCAAAAGGGACTCTCACCAGTAAAGTTTGTACGCCTATATGCCTAGTTCACAGAGACACTGTGTTGTACTCAAAAGGGACAGTCACCAGTAAAGGTTGTACGCCTATATGCCTAGTTCAGACAAACTGTTTATTACCGAAGAGAACAACCGTCTGGCATTAGATAGGACACACGTTGGGAAAACTTGAAAACAGTATAACTAGAATTTCTTTGCACTGGAGCCCACAGAGGCATAGAAATAAAGGAAGACACACAAAAAAATACATGGGGAAGGGAGATATAGAATGATTTTTAACAGGTGGCGAGGATATGGGGAGATCTGCATGTGATAGCAAAGGATAGAATAATTTGGCGGAAGTTGCTTGAGAGCCTCTGCTCCATGGAGAAAGGCAGAAGAAAAAGAAGAAGAAGAAGAAGAAGAAGAAGAAGAAGAAGAAGAAGAAGAAGAAGAAGAAGAAGAAGAAGAAGAAGAAGAAGAAGAAGAAGAAGAAGAAGAAGAAGAAGAAGAAGAAGAAGAAGAAGAAGAAGAAGAACCGCCAATAACATTTATCTTCAACATGGCGCCTGAGGAGGCACTATCCATATTACTCGATGAATGCAGCTCTGGGTCAAAAGTCATACCGACAGATATTCGCTCAGTATTGCAAGCAATACAAAATGATAAGCAGTTACTTTTCAACAAGCTTAGATTATGATAAAACAAATGGGTCACTTGAACTAGCAGAAATGATATGGTTCAGCCGTCTAGTAAGGAAGCAGCTAGACCAAACTGCATATGAGACTTTTTGCAGCAGAACGTCTGGGAGGAAGGCGAGAGGAAGACAAAGAAGACATTAATCATAAATAAATGGTGTAGCTAAAACCAGCAAAAAGATGAACAAATCCATCACCCGAGCCACCCGAGAAGAGCAAGACTAATACAGAAAATCCTATTACTGGGCTACAGCATGGTAGTGGGACGACAAAAGAAGAAGAAGACCACCAAGGAGAATGTGCTCCAGTGGATCCCATGCCACTGAAACATTAGGGGAAATGAAAGAGCAGACTACTTAGCGAAAACTGGAAGTCATACAGTACAGTCAGATACAGGATGCGCTTACGAGGAAGACAAAACTCAGACCAAGGCAGTCATTAGAACTCACTTGAACACTTGACATCCAGGACACAAACCTAAAGACCGAATCAATCTCCTCGCAAAAAGAAACAGGTTATTGTATTTGGACTGTATACAAGAGACTCTGCAGCCATATGCACAAAAAATTCAAGATTGGGGATTATAATGATCCCCATATGGACAGGCACTGCAGTAAACTGAACATGTGCTAGTAGTAGTAGATCTTTACCCCACCAGGACATTACACAAGCGATAAACACCCGATGACACAAAGTGCCACCATGTGGATGAGGATCACCCGTGGAGAGGTCCCAGAAACCACGTCCAGCCATTTGACCACATTTATGGTCGGGCTATATTGAGGCCCCTGGCAATAGACAGGGTGGGGCTTCAAATAACGAAAAATTGCATCTTACAAGGAGATGACTGGAAAAAAAACATATGCTACAAACATGCTCTCTGCATGCAGTAGACTAGAGCATCGGTTTTCAACTTATGGTTCACGACCTTTTTGTGGGTCGAACTAACCTTTCACAAGGGTCGCATTAGACCATCAGAAAACACATATTCACCGAAGCTATGTAGTAGGAACGAAAATAATTGTATGGCTGTGGTCGCCACAACATGGGGAACAGTAAATAAACGGTTGGGGCATTAGAAAGTTGAGAACCACTGCAGTAGAGAGATCGTAGGGTTGGCCAGTTGGCATTCCAATGGAAAACTAGCCGTATCGAACAGTGGAAGACTTGTGTGTCGCACCATGGACTTCAGAGAAGCCCGTGGCCATTACATCTGAATACCACTAACATGGAGAACGAAAAGAAAAACAAGATAACAGGGTCCCCCCCCCCCCCCCCCCCTCCTCCTTTTCTAGAAAAATAGAGCTGGTGGCGTTGAAGACCGGGTCATCACTGTCTAAAAAAAAAAAAAAACGGCGCCGATACTCAGCCAGAAATTATTACAGTAGCGCTGAAAAATAATGCTTTAAAAAAACAGAAGGGTTGGTACTGCCTACCATTACGTACAGCGAAAAAATAATCCCACCTACTCTATTTTACTAAAAGAGAACAAATAACAGTATTTACGCTGACATTTCAGGTCCAAAAACTATATTCTTCTGGTCGCCGTTTGCTAAATGGGTAAGTCTTTGTCCAATCTTTATACGATGGTTGTGTATGTGTGTGTGTATTATATTTGTGTATGTGTGTGCGAGTGTGTATGTGGTATATGTGTGTATATATATATATATATATATATATATATATATATATATATATATATATATATATATATGTATGTATGTGTGTGTGTGTGTGTGTGTGTGTGTGTGTAGTTTAAAATGCCTTTAAAATGACGGTTGGCACGTTGGGTTGTGGTTTACAATTAGACTGCGATATCTGTCCTTTTCAGCCTAGCAGATTTGATTTCAACACACACTTATTTGGTCGCCTTTTACGACCTGCTTGTTTAGGCGTGGGTCTATGTTTCCCCCAAAAATGGGGTCACAAACCCACATTGAAATGGCAATAGTTGTACTAGTTCTCCTTGTTTTACATACTAACAGAACTACTGATTTTACGTTAGATTTAAATGCTACACTACTGGTATCTAAAAATTCCATATAAAGTCCGATGGTTTACATTATTATCCTTGCTGGTTTCAGGCGGGAATGAATTATCTCACTAAATATTTCCACTATGGCCAGTCTAATCTTGTTAATAATGTAAACTTCAATTCTCACGTACACTTGTTTGTGAAATGAACGCATAAAATAAGTATACCAAAATGCAAACAATTAAACATTTTCCGGATGAAAAGATTAGAAAGATATTCTTCCTTGCCTACATTCAGACCCCTATCGCTGCACAGTTTGAAATGACATTTCCAATTAAATTATCAAAAGACTTGAACCCATTCAAAGAAGAGATGTACGTTAAATAACTAATAATCGTGTTTCAACCAACATGAACTTCTTATGGTATTTTCAAGTAGACTAAACGTATTCACAAAATCTTATCCCACAATGCCGACATTATCTTCGGCCAATAATTAAACACAAGGAAAGCGTAGCAAACGCCTCAACATATCCTTAAAACTAGGATAAACAATGCTATCCCCATCCAATAGGCTTACCAAGGGTTCACACCCTATCCATCACGCATTGCATAAGATATGTGAAGTCAACACTTTGTATTATTTGAAGACGTTGTAAAATGGGACGTTAATCGTCCAATCTTACAGTGGCCGGTCTCGAAGTCGTCGAAGCTATAAGTCACAATTCCATTCGCTGGACAAAACCTCAAGTCCGGTCACAAGTTGCTATTTACTCCAAATGGTACATGTTTCTTTACTTGTCATATCCCATTCTTCTGTTATGTTCCCTCCCCCCTGCCCCCCCCCCCTCCCCCGTTGTTACGATAATATCTTCTCTCCTAATGCTGTATTTTTCAACTCACTGCGCTAAAAACATTTTGCTCTAGGATACAAAAACTCTAGCATTAACACTATTGAATTCTTCTTCTTCTCCTCATTCTCCTTCTCATACTCACCCTCTTTCGTCTTCTTCGTCTTCTTCTTCTTCTTCTTCTTCTTCTTCTTCTTCTTCTTCTTCTTCTTCTTCTTCTTCTTTTTCTTCTTCATATTTCTCATCATCTTCTCGTCCGTCTCCTTTTCCTCCTCCTTCTTCTTCTTCTTCTTCTTCTTTTTCTTCTTCTTTTTCTTCTTTTTCTTCTTTTCTTCTTCTTCTTTTTCTTCTTCTTCTTCTTCTTCTTCTTCTTCTTCTTCTTCTTCTTCTTCTTCTTCTTCTTCTTCTTCTTCTTCTTCTTCTTCTTCTTCTTCTTCTTCTTCTTCTTCTTCATCACTTCTTCATCTTCTTAGCGTTTCCAGTCTATAAACTCCGGCAGAAGATTCTGGTTGTTCGTCCACTTCTGGACTCTAGTTCTGTTCCAGAAACTGAATATTCACACCTACATCCGTTTTCACAGATTTGATTTATTGTTACGCAGACTGTTGGTTCCTTGCCTCTCAGGCAGGCGTACTCTGACTTCAAAGAAAGTTCCCAAATAGCCTACTCTTACGCCATGCTTGTTTTGTAGACAGGGGGTCTATTCTTGCCCCCCCCCCCCCACAATAGGGCCCCAGAACTGACACAGGGACTACTAAATTCAACACTATCTGGGAATGAAAGCCTTAACCACACTGTCTATTGCAGACTTTAGTGATCGCAGGACTGGGAGATATGGCGAGACCGGCTGAGAAACTGAGCTTGCGACAGAGTGTAGCTCTGGCTGGCACAGGTAAACTGGCACGCGTCACCATCATCATACCATTGTCATCGTAATCACCACCATTGTTATCACCATAGTCATGATTACACCATCGTCATCATCATCACCACCATTATCACCTCCATTATCATCATAACCGTCATCACATCATCCTGTTGTGCCATTATTTGCCACGTAGATCGCAGAGATTCCGTCAATATGTTGTCAATCCCATGGATGAAATCAAGCCCAGCACATTTGGCCCATCTCATAAACATTTGTTTTAGGGTTTTTCTTGAACATCCTCGTTTCCCAATTCCATTGATTTTCAGTGTCAGTGAGTCATTCTGAACTATCTTTATATCTTTACACAAATAACAATATCACGTCTTTTAGGCGAAATAAATAAGCTACACAATAGGAGGCGTCCAATACTGCCGTGCGTGTATACAGATGTCAATGTGAATGGTTCAATCTCGTAACAGTCATTTTAACGATCCTATCAGATCTCTTACTTCTACTAAAACAATAGCACTACCTATAGCACTATTCGCAAGTTATGACAGCTACTGCAGTCACTATGTCCAGACCTAGGAAACCTACAAGATGTTATAACTCACATAAAGAAGGTGACTTGAAGGTGGAGCAAAAAAAGCAACACCTCTAATTCTGACGCAGCGAATACGAGAAAGACCATGTCGTTGACGAAAGAAACAGTCAAAAGACCAAGAAAAAACTGTCAAATAAAACGGATATCATGGATGAGCAAACACCAACAACAGAAAGGACTACATCGGAGAGGGGTGATAAGCCAGATACTACCGAGAAGCAGAGCACCGAAACAGCTGCAGCCAGGGGGCATTCCAAGTGGCCAGAAGCGCAGACGCAGAGACATGACGGAAATTCAGCTGACCGATGATCACACATTCCAGACCAGAATCCTGATTTGACAGACCAGCGTCGAACTAGAGGCACTAACTACCCTAAACATGCTGATAATCCTGTCGCTAATGGATGGCCTGCGAGGGAAGCGATCCATCGTGAAGTCGAAGAAAGTCAGAGATTGAATAGTCACCACACTTAACAAGACATGTAAAACGGTACGGAAGATCAAGAAGATATCAAACAGCTAAGGCTACCGAATAAAATGGTGGGGATGGCCTCCTCTTACCACACTATGCCCAGGTGGGTTGTCAAGGGCATTAAGTTGCAACTAACGACACAGAAATACATGACCAAATACAGAAGGAAAACCTAAAATTACTTATCGCCAAGGCGGAGCGACTGGGATCCAGACACAACTCTACGACAGCGGTTGTGATGACAACCGAAGGCGACTATATCCCGGACAAAGTTACGTACGACAAGAGACACCACAGACCAGAGCAGTATGTTCTACCAATACTGTCATTTTTGCGCTGCCAGAAGCCCTGTCAATTCAGAATCACTTGATTCAGGAAATGTAAGATATGCAGATATTGCTCGGAGCCGCATGCCTTCAGCGAGTGATCAAAGACCAAGAAAGACAGTGGTTTCAGGGAGCCTAACACAAATAGGAAATGCGCATTAAAGAATACAAGTGCACAATAATAAGGAGAATGAACCGGACGAAGGATGACCCATGAGGAAAAGCCAACTTTATAACTTATGCTAGCCAGGAGAGGCTGGCTCCACAGGTAGCGGCTGAACTTAGCCAAATCAAATTGATGATGATGATGATGTCAGTGATTGTTTGATGATCTATTGCTCGCTTCTTTTCAGGATGTGCACACTATGATACGATCTTCTTTGCTTTATAAACGTTTATAAGGGCAGATGTCTGAAAATTTTTCCCATTTCTGCAGTTTTCTTGAATTTGTCCTATTTAATGTTCACCAGTCAATATCTGTGTCTATCTGTCTAGCTAAATATTCGCCCACCCGTCTACGCTATCGGTTGTCTATCAGTTTATATAATCTACCTATCCATCTATATGCCTGCCTATATCTCTATCTATTTATCTATCCATCTGTCTATCTAATCTGTCTGTCAACCTATATATCCATCTGTCGATACACACAAACATTTTAGCTGCCATTATATCTACATTTTTGATAAACTAATAAAACTCACAAATTTCACCATCTGAACACCTTCCATATTTTTCCAGGATTCATCTGGTCTCGCTACTCCCTTATCATAATCCCCAAGAACTACAGTCTGTTTGCCGTGAACTTCACAGTTGGCCTCACAGGCACGTCTCAGTTGGCAAGGATTGCACAGTGAGTTTTGGTTACTTTTGACGCAATAAATTTCATTGGTAGCGAAGACGAAGAAGAAGAAGAAGAAGAAGAAGAAGAAGAAGAAGAAGAAGAAGAAGAAGAAGAAGAAGAAGAAGAAAAAGAAGAAGAAGAAAAAGAAGAAGAAGCAGCAGCAGAAGAAGAAGAAGCCGCAGCAATATAATAATATTATAATCAAGTATAACAACAAAGATATTATTCATAAATCAACTTAGCTTCCTCTTCTGCCTTGTTATTCCTCAATGAAACATAGGCTTTCACGTACATACGCCGTTTTATCCTTAGCAAAGTTGGGCAGCTCACTCTATCTTATTCACTTCAATCTTGAACTCCCGTCTCCACGTTTTTCCTCTTTTAATTCTATGGCATTGTGGGTTCCATCAATCTGTCTTATAGCCTGCTATTACTCCTTACTCTCTACACCTTGAGTCCCCGTGAGGGTTCCAGGGCCCCATTAGGGAAGGAGGGTGTGGGGGGATACCCCATAACAAGCATGTTGTAAGAGTCGATTAGTTATAGATGTTTCTCTCGAGGTCGGAGTGCATCTGCCTCACACGCGAGGAACCAACGGTCTGCATACAAATAATATATTATAGATAAATTTTTGGGGGTTCTGAATTGTTTCGGCAGAATTTATCTGACTCTATTCATCTATCTATCCATCTGTCAATACATACAATCACTTTAATTGTCAATATATGCAGGCTGTTGATAAATTAACTCAGCTCAGATATTTCACAATCTTTCGTCGTACTATGCTAGGTATAACGCGAGGAGATCGACTTAGGAACGATGATATCGGGAGAACCAACACTGAACTTTGAAGGTAGACAACAAATTAAATTGTTTGGCCATGTATCAAGACTGGCATCAATCAGACAGGTAACCACTGAGAGCAGTGTTATAAAGATACAACGGTAATAGATCCAGAGCTCGACCACGCACAACATAGACCGCAGACATATCAGAGACAATGAAAAATACTTTATATAGAGGGAACAGAAGGGCCCGTTCCAAATATCTTTTTTTTTGCCCTAACGCCAAGAGGCATTCCAGGAGTAGAGAAAAGAAGAAGTATCTGATTCTTGGGCATTATATTTAGACTGCAATAAGGAGTAGATATAATGTCTAGATGTTATGATCTAGGGCAATGTAAGCTGTGGAACAGATTTTATAACTACAGGTTATAGCACGGTACATTATAGTAGGTTACACGGAATGTTGTGTAACCACAGTGTTTGTAATCTACACGGAAGCAGGCAACAAGATAGTTAGTTATAGTGAATAGAAACCATCTGATTTTTAACAACTGTGGTTTGTCGCAACGTTCGTCTACTGAGATATGTAATATAATATGCGCTATATCTCAACCCCCCTCCCACTTCCTCTGTCTGTATCTTATGTCCGTCAACGTGTCCTATTTTGGATGTCCTTCTAAGCATTCTCTTCCGTTCTGTATGTTTCCTGTCCCTCTATATGTCTGTCTGGATCTCTGAGTATTTATTTTTTGCCATTCCGTAGGTCTGTCTGTCCTTTAGTGTAGGTTTGCCTTCTCTCTGAACGTGCCTTTCCCTTACTGCATGTCTGTCTTTCTCTGTACGTCTTTATGGACCTTTCTGAACACCTTTCCCCCTTGCTGTATGACTCCTCTTTCTGTATTTCAGCATGACCCTTCTCATACCCCCCCCCGCCCCGCCCCTGTATGAATGTCCCTCGCTGTACATCTGTTTGCCACTCTGTGTGTTCCACGCTCTTAGTCTACACACACCTCTCTATGTTCCTGTCCCTCTCTGTCTATGCCTCACGGAGTATATATACTGCGACGGTGAATAGACACTTTTTTTGCATACGTCACAACATTCAATATGAGAATGTAAGTGAGGGTAGTAACGTCGGCTTTTCCGATGGCTTTAGAGCGAGCAGCACAGCCCAACATGTGGTAAATGTAACTGACTCACAGAGCATGCTTCGGAAAATAGAAATTGATGTGTCCTTCGCTTGCATCACTTGATAGACTCAGATCAGGAGCACAGCATAGTTTTTCTGTCTAGAATAGTTGGGTGTGCGGGGTAATAAGCAGACTGATAGAATCGCTGTTGCCGCCCATCTGGGTGGTGAGCTACTTTATGATTAAGCGGGCATGGCGAAAGGCATCTAGGATCCGTTGTGCACGTGTGGGAATGTCTGTGCATAAACTCTGATCTCATACGCGACTGTATAACTTATCACTAGTATTTCCTATCCTCATACAGCCACGAGTACAATGTAAAGCCCAAAGCTGAAGGTGACGATACAACAGAGGCAACAAAAGCACAACAACCTGGAACCGCTTGATTTCCTCATGAATAACACCCGTTAAAAAAAAAGGTTCAATCCATGAATAGTGCGCAGTTAAAAACGGCGCTTAACTGTGGTAATTAATTAAGCAGCATTTTGTTTTTCTAATTTGGCTGTAAAAAATTTATGTATATTGTTTATAGAGAAAGAGATGAGTACATTAAAAAGTATATTTACATTAAACGGAATTTATGTGGCTGATTATTTTATTGTTATGAAGCTGGAGGCTGTTTCGTTAAACTTTATTTTCTTCTTTCGTCAATATCTGCTTATACTGTTACTACAGTTCACCAGACAATCGGCAGCCTAGCCAGGGCGTGCTCAGTTCGCTTGATATGTCATGATGTTATGCAGTCTCAGGGTGTCAGTGACTCCTTCAATCCATGTTTTTCTCGGTCTTCCCCTGCATCTTGGTGTTTTGATTTCAGGTTGTATGCTCTTGATGCTGGTATCATTCTCATTAGATGGCCAAACCATTTCATTCTTTGTTTATCAATAAATTTGACGATGGGTGTTTCAACAAATCTCGTGGAAATAAGCTACATGTTCCCCCACATGGGTCTTTTTTCCTGAGGAAAGCTACCATTTTCCCTACTGTGCCCTTTTTCCTGAGAAATGCTACTTGTTACCCGAGTAGGTTCCGACCCCTTCTCCCCCACGCCCTTTCCCAAATAAACCTATTGCCCCCAACAAGCATGGCGTAAATACGACTAATTAGGAATTTGTTGTAATCCTATGCATGTGGCTGAAATGTGCAGATGTCACAGCCTAGTTGTAAACCACAACACAATGTACCAACCGCCCTTGCCAGGGCGAATGAGAAATAAGCTACTTAGGTCAGGGCAGGGCTCAGGCAGAAGACACAATCAGACAGGTTTGCATCCTTGAGAACATAAGGCGAGGAAAAGATTGGGTCAAAGTGCCACCTAAACAGTCAGACTTGTGTAGGGTCATAATCACACTGAGACGGGAATGCAGAGACTGGCCAGCAGGTGCCACGTAGATGGAAATTCAGCAATTAATTCAAGATAATGCTCGCTCAGAGGTTTTGATCATTTACACAGACGGTTCAGTGTCAAGAGGCGAAATATGTGCTTGGGGCTTCTTAGCAAAAGTTAATGGTTGACGTTTGGTGCAGGATACAACATCCAGCTTAAGAATGGAGGTGGAGGCGGTCACTGCAGCTTTCCGCTGGTTAGAAAACACGACACATACACACACACATCGTGATTGTAACTGACTCAGAAAGCATGCTGAGGAAGATCAGGACAGGCATGATTCGTGCAGAGTGGCATGCTTCACTGCAGAGGACACGGGTGAAGAGTATTGTCTGGATTTTTTCACTGGGTACGCCGGTGTGTTGGGAAATGAACAGGCGGACAGACTGACTGGCTCTGCACAACTTGGTGGACTACAGATACATGATAAGGCAGACATAGTTAGTGCCTTGTGGGAGAGCGTGTACAGTTCAGAGGAGCAGATAGATCACCACAGTCTGGTGAGACTGATGCAAGGGGAGAGTGACGAGAGGTTCTGGCAGATGCTCGAGGCTCAGAGGATAGGCAAGACGGACGTTTAATCAGAATGCTACTGGCACCATAGTATCAGAACTCTTCGCTGGCTGCTGCAGATGAGGACGGAGCGCTTATGGGAACGCCTCGAGAGCTGTGATGTTGAATCAAATCAATCAATCAGGCTTTTATTTGGTTCTTAAAAAAAAAATAGTTCCCGTACTCAAAGTGTCTTTAAAAAAAGTATGTCTACTCACCACAAAATGTTTATTCTGTGCGGCGACCGGGTGACAAACTCCTTGTGGTCCGGGTTCAAGCCTAGGGGTAGGCAGAAAAGCTACATTTTCTCCCAGATTTAAAGTATCTATTATGGAATCAATGCCAAAGGGTTGCGATATCCAGAGTACCAAGCCTGATGGTTAACACCTCATACTTCGGGTATACGTAATCTTCATAACGAGAGCAATAGCTACAGGCGTATAGCCAGCCTCGACTGCACTGCTTACACACAAAAGTCAGTTGCGGAATGGGCTGTTTATCATACATAACTGTGGTGGTAAAAGCTGTTTATCACATTCTAACTGTGATATGGGTTATCACATATCAAACTGTAATACGGGTTGATTATCACACCACAGGCTGTGATATGGGCAGTTTATTACACCTCTGACTGTGATATGAGCTGTTTATTATATCTCTGACTGTGATATAGGCTGTTTATTATACCTCTTACTGTGATATAGGCTGTTTATTATACCTCTGTGCTATAGGCTGTTTATTATACCTCTCACTCTGCTATGAGAGGTTTATTACAGAACTCACACTGTGATATGAGCTGTTTATTATACCTCTTATTGTGATATAGGCTGTTTATTATACCTCTTACTGTGATATAGGCTGTTTATTATACCTCTGTGCTATAGGCTGTTTATTATACCTCTCACTCTGCTATGAGAGGTTTATTACAGAACTCACACTGTGATATGAGCTGTTTATTATACCTCTTATTGTGATATAGGCTGTTTATTATACCTCTCACTGTGATATAGACTGTTTATTATACCTCTCACTGTGCTATAAGAGGTTTATTACACACCTTTTACTGTGATATGAACTATTTATAACACCTCTCAGTGTGATATGAGCTGTTTATTATACCCCTCACTGTGCTATAAGAGGTTTTTATTTACCTCTTATTGTGATATGAGCTATTTATAACACCTCTCATTGTGATATGAGATGTTTATTACACCTCTGATTGTGATAGCAGAGGTTTATTACACTCCTCTTACTGTGATATGAGATATTTATTACACCCCTACCTGTGATGAGCTATTTATTACAACCTTAACTGTGATATGAGCTGTATAATTTTATAAAAGGGCAGTTGGCATGAAGTGCTGTGGTTGGTTAACAGCTAGGTTTAAATATCTGCATCTTTTGATCCAAGACATCTGATTTCATCAAATCCCTAATGTGACCTTTAATGACATGCTTGTTAGGGACAATGGATCTTATAAATCTCTTCTTGAAATAATGGCCCTGTAACCCACTAGCATACCCCCCCCCCCCCCCCCCCCACATTGTAATTTGCTTATCAAATCAAACTTGCCATTAATAGGAAACAATTACTAGTGACAAGACCAACAATTACACAGACAAGATGCTGGAATTTAAAAAATTAAAATTACCAAGCCATATTCTTCTTCTTATTTTTCTTCACATTCACCAGAGGCTAACTCTGGTGAAAGGATTTGGTTGTGCATCCACTTCTGCACTTTGCTCCTGTTCCAGAACTTGCATTTTGAGTTTATATCCATCTGATAAATCTAGCTTATCTGTATGCATACTCTTTGTTACTCACATCTCGGACAGATGCATTCTGACTTTCAAGGAGAACCCCTAATTAGTCGCCTCCTAAGACATGCTTGTTTGGGAGGAAGGAGGAGGGAGTGGATGTATTCTTTTTCTCCCAAACTGGGACCTGGAACCAACATGGAGCAACAAAACAATATGAAATGTACAAAGCAAATCAGCAACACTCTCTTGTTGATCACTGTTTACTTTATGTATACCACTGACACAGGCCAGTCAATGCTGATGAATTTAACAAACTGAAATCACAGAGACACTTATGACATGTAAAGCAGGCATTTGCAGAGTTAGATTACTTCTTTCTTTCTATTTAAAAGGTTAGATAAAAAAAAAAATCAGTAGAAACCATGATTCTACATCATCACTGCCAAGTGATGATGTATGTCAAGGACCTGTTTCTGTGGGCTCACCTGTGTTTGGCACATGGTGTTAACTTCATTTTCTCTGCCTGGGAACTCGAACATGGGACTATAAAGTCAGGTAATGATAGCCAGGTCTATTCGGCTAATTGCTCTATAAGTAGGTAAACAATATACCCCAGTGACTACAGATTACACTGTGACCATAATATACCTGTGTTATATGGCTGAACAAGGTTTTTGGGATTAGCTCCTTTTGGATTCTCATCCCAATAGTGACTGCTTGAGTCGATGGGTGTTAATTCTGCAGTAAATATATGACCTAACACAGGAAAAAATATGAAAAGAGTGGGGAAAAACAACCTTCTTGTATGCCCTAAACATGAAAATATGATAGGGGGGGGGGGGGGGGGGGGGGGGGGGGGGGGAACACACACAACATTCTCGTATGCCCTAAAAATAAAAATATGATGGGAGGAAACAACATTCTTGAATGCCCTAAAACACGCAAATCTTATGGGGGAAAAACAATCTTCACGTATGCCCTAACATGAAAATATTATAGGGAAAAAACAACCCTTATGTATGCCATAACACATGAAAATATGAAGAAGGAAAAACAACCATTTTTGTGCTCTAACACAGGAATCAAAGATGGGGGGAAAACCATCTTCTTGTTTGCCCTATGACAGAAAAATGTTGGCCAGTATTATGCTAGTGAAGTAGCTCTCAGACTTGTCTCTGATATTGACTGGGTAGCCATGTGAACAATGGAAGATTTTTTCATCTCTTAAAAATCTGACCTTGGGGTCCCAGGTAGACCCAGCCTAAAATGGGTCTCAGCTAAGGAAGCAGCATAATGTTGACTCCCTTCTGCATTTACTTTGCAAGAGTGAGCTTCAAGAATGTGGCAGCAGTGTAAACAAAGGGTCTTTTGCTACTTACTTTACACATGAACTATTCCATCAAACAACTCCTAAAAAAAGAGTAAACCAGCAACTGACCAGCGTACTACAGCCAGGCTTCTTCTGTTTAAGAAAATTACCTTAAAAAATATCAGAATTTTTTTTTTAAACATACAAACTTCTTATGTGACCTACATACAAACATTAAAATATGAAGAAGGAAAAAACCCTGCTGTCTTGTACACTCTAACACATACAAATATAAAGTGGAGGTGAAAAAACCAAAAACAACTTTCTTGTATGCCCTAACACAAGAAAATATGATGAGCAAGGAAAAACAATCTTCT